CATTTATTACCATCCTCAACACTAAATAAAATAAAATCCAAAACTGCAATTGGTACGCATACTCGCAAAGGTCACTGACTTGAGTAAAAATTAATATCTATAAGAATATTTCGAGTACGCGTATGAGATTAGTTAAGAGTGTTAAGCAAGCAAAGAACTTGTAACTTCGGACAAATTATAGTGTGTATAGAACCGGGTAATAGCATACGAATTGCATTAACATCCTGCCCTACCAACGTGTCTCGTGCCACTTGCAAAAAGGACTGTAGAGTAGTAGTCGTGCTGTCCTGGGCCGACTCAGATGTGTGATATCGTGTTATATGTGGTTCCTCCTTGGCACTCTCGTGAGACTCTCGCTCGCTTCCTCCCATGTCAGCGTCATCTGAAGGTGAAGACCAAGCAAGTCCCAAGGCCACTGTGGATTGTTTATCCACTAGACAAGCATAAACCGTGAAGCGCCAGTTGGAGCAAACTGGCGTGCGGCGCCAGCATCACGTGCGGCATTATGTACCCTGAACTGCAGATGCTGACAAATTAACCAGCGACAACTCGCACATCTGGTTCTAGAAGACAACAACACAGACGCGATAATTATTTTAGCGGCACCATTCTTCGGCCAGGCGAACAACCACAACCCTGTCTGAGGAGGCAGAGGTGGTACTGAGGGGTGGTAGCAGTGGTGGTGGTGGTTGCCGTGGCAGCGGTGGTGGTACTGAGGGGTGGTAGCAGTGGTGGTGGTGGTTGCCGTGGCAGCGGTTGTGGTTAAGGTGGTGGTAGCAGTGGTGGTGTTGGCAGAAGCAGCTGTAATTGACATTGTTGTTGGGTAATTAGATACGAAATCGCACCCCGCCCAGTGCTGGCCATTGGCAAAGGCATGTGGTAGTCGTGGCTCTGGCTGCTCAGGCTGTGACTGGGCTGTGTGGCGTCCTCGTGCACACCCCGTGGGCGTCTGTTCGTCCCCTGTCAGCGCTGTTCTGGGGAAGACGCGGCCAGCCATGTGGAAATTGTTTCCACTGCAGCGTGAGCGCCGTGGGAGCTGGCGGCGGGGGTCCCGGGCGCCCGCTGCTCTCCGGGCGAGGGACGGCGGGGCCAGGCGAGGTCTGAGGAGGGCAGAGGAGGGGTCTAGGCTTGCGGGCCGGCATGGCCGGGTGTCGTGTCGCAAGAGCACGTCTAGGAAAGATGTTCCGGGCACCCGAGGCCAGTCTCGGCCACCTGGCGCCTCGGGCCCTTGCTCCTGGGAGCCACCCCCACGGCCTGGGCCCTGTGGGCGGCTGGTGCCAGGTGGCAGGGCTGTGGAGCCTGCCCTGTCGCTCCAGCAGGCCACGCTGGCCCAGCTGTGTGCGGCCGGCCGGAGCGCAGCCACACACCAGGAAAGATTAGGGTCATTCAGGGACGGCGCCAGAGCCACGTCCGGCAGGGAGCACAGCAGGTGCTCATGGTCCAGACGTGACAGCGTGCGCGGGCAGGTGTGGCCCTGCAGAGATGCCTGATGGAGGGGCTGGGTGTGCCCAGGGAAGAGCCTTTAAGGAGCAGATGTTCCTGGAGGAGGGAACTGTGAGCTGAGCCTTTGCATTCATTAAGGTATCTGTTAACAAGTGACAGAAAACTGCCTCCAAGTGAGCTCTAACAGTGAAGGAAGTGTAATAGACCATATAGAAAATCCAGCAATAGGGAAGGCTTCAGGTGCAGTATGATCCAGGGGCTTATAGCAGTGGCAAGGCTACCGCTACACTCCACTGTGGTTCTCTCAGCCTCCACCCATGTCTGGCTTTGTTCCAAGCCTTGTTCCCCTCATGTCCTGAGGCAAGATGACCAGCCTAGTGGTTGAGCCTGGGTTCAAATCCTGGCTCTGACACTTACTAGCCAGATACCCTTTCACCTCTGAGAGCCTTGGTTTCCCCATTAGTAACATGGTACCTACCTGGGCCTTTTGTGAAGATTAGAAACCTCCTACAGGTGGAGCATTTGGAGCCAATTCGGCACAGGGGGCACTCAGTGAACATTAGCCAGGGCACGTGGCCGCCAGCAGCCCCCAGAGCCCAGCTTCCATGCTCACCTCCCGGGAGACCATGGAGCGACCCCAGCTGCACTCTGTACCCACTTAAGTCAGTGACTGTCCCTGAACCAGGCACAATAGCAAAGGGATGTGGCAGGCTCTGTAGCTTCCGTGTCTCAGGGTCCCTGAACTGGAGATGGGGTTGGGACCACCTGAACCAATGGCTGGGACTTAGGAAGGGGAAGGGATGGACGGAGGCAAGTGGCAGTGCCCACTGCACCCTTGAGAGACGAGAAGTATTAATTAGGGCAAATCATGGGCTTTCCCTATGATTGGAGCTGCTCCGGAGTTACGCAGTGCGTAGCCTACACATCTGGATATGGCCCTCCTGGTGAGGACTGTGAGTCTTCAGACTATGCTTAGGTCAGTACAGCAAGATCACAGTGCACAAGGAGAAGGTGGTGGCAGCTGGGGCTGGAAAGAAACAGGGGCCACATTGAAAGCTTTGAAGCTGGGCACAGTGGCACACACCTGTAGTCCAGGTACTCTCGAGCCAAGGTAGGAGGATTGCTTGAGCCCAGGAGTCGAGACCAGCCTAGGCAACAAAACATGACCCCGTCTCGAACAACAAAAACAAACAAGGAAATAAGCTTTGAGCAGTGGGTGCGTACAGCAAGGCTTAACCATCCTGAGTATGAAGCAGGGTGAGTGAAGTCAGGAAGAATGAGACCTGCTTATTGACTGACATTTTGTGATCGGCATATGTTCTGAAAAAGAAATGCAAACTGTGTATCTAAATACACCTCCTGTGTCCCTCTTTTCAAATTTCTCCTGGTTTTGATTTCACATCTTTTCCATTTCTCCCATCCAGATAGTGCTTGAAAAATCCCCATAATCTCTGAGCCTTGCTGAGCACCAGGCCCCAGGCACCATGTGCTCGCTATTCAAGCTCACGAAACCCTGCGAGGGAAGGACTTCTTGGGCCCTCACTGCAACTGGGGAGATTTAGGCATTGTTGTGTGACTTGCTCAGGGTCACACGGCCTGCAGAGGAACCAGGGTTTTACTCCCAGACATTCTGATTGTCGGTTCTTCATCCCATAACATGGAGGACAGAATTCTGTACTCCCTGCAAACAAAAGGCCGCAGACTCTGGGAGGCCGAGGCAGGAGGATCTTTCAAGTTCAGGAGTTTGAGACCAGCCTGAGCAAGAGCAAGACCCCGTTTCTACTAAAAATAGAAACAAATTAATTGGCCAACTAATATACATAGAAAAAATTACCCAGGCATGGTGGCACATGTCTGTAGTCCCAGCTACTCGGGAGGCTGAGGCAGGAGGATTGCTTGAGCCCAGGAGTTTGAGGTTGCTATGAGCTAGGCTCACACCATGGCACAATAGCCCAGGGCAACAGAGTGAGACTCTGTCTCAAAAAAAAAAAAAAGGCCTGCAGGAATAGTCAGGTGATGCTTGCTGAAATGATTCAGAAATATAAATATTAGAAGTAAGAAATCAAGGGCAAAGGGCTCTCAGATTCCTTGGTTCAAAGTCCTCACCACGAACAACAAAGGCAACCCCGGCTCAGCTGCTCCCTCTGGAACGATCTCCCAGAGTTCCAAGCCTGGACTTGGCCTTCAGGGCCACGGACACTCCCTTGAGGCTGTTTGCAGGGTCAGGAGAGGGAGCAGCTGCCTGTCTGTCTGTGTCCTTTCCTCCCCGAAGCCGAGAGGTTCCCCCAGGGGTGTCCGAGGCCCCACCTGCGCCCCTGCCTTAGCTCTTGCCGGGCGGGGCTTGGGCAATGCTCCGAGTGAGCCGGCACCAGAGTAAAGGCTGCAGCAGCGACCGCTGGTGCCGCGGGCCAGGGTGGCCGGCCAGGAATGGGGACTGACCGCCCCTGCTCTTTCTTTTTTTTAATTGAGGTAAAGTACACGTAATGTAAAGTTCACCACTGTAGCCATTAAAAAATGTACAACTCATGACATTTAGTAAATTTACAGTGTTGCGCATCCACTACCTCTAGCTAGCGCCAAAACACCTTCGTCACCCCAGGAGGAAACCCCGTCCCCATCAGCAGTCACTCCCCACTCCTTCTTTCCCAGCCCCTGAAAACAGCTCGCCTTCTTTCCGTCTCTGCGTTCGCCCGCTGTGGACACTGCACGCCAACGGAGCCACACAGTGCGTGGCTTTGCGTGCCTGGCCTCTTTCCCTGGGCATCATGTTCTGCAGCTGCATCTAGTTTGTAGCAGGTGTCGGAACGTCATGACTTTTGATGGTTGAATAATATGCCCTGGTATGGACAGACCACATTTTGTTTATTCATTCATTGGCTGGTGGAAATCTAGGTGCATCCACTTTCGGCTATTGTGAATGATGCTGTAACGAGCATTCCGGTACAAGGTTTTGTGTGGACACACGTGTTCAGTTCTTTTGGACATATACCTGGAGTGGGACTGCTGGGTCACCTGGTGGTTCTATGCCTCCTTTCTGGGGGAGCCACCGGGCTGTCGCCAGGGACGGAAGCCCCACGCTGCATCCCCGCCAGCGTCGCACACGGCTCCAAGTCCCGCCTCTGCTTTCTGTCTTCGCAGTCCTCTTGCCGGGCGAGCAGGAACACAGTGAGTGGCTACTTCCTGGCAGGCCGGGACATGACGTGGTGGCCGGTGAGTGCGCTCTGACCTCTCACACGCGCTCCTTTATCTGTGGGGCCACGTCTGCTCTGAGACCAGCCAGCACCTGCGTCCCTGGGTCACTCTGTGCGTCTTCCTCAACCACGGTCACTGCCCAGATGGGCTGCGCGGGCAGGCCGAGGCTAGCAGGGAGTGCAGGCACAGGCCGGGCCGCGAGGAGCTGCAAGGCGCGGGGCCCTGCGGTCTGACGTCTACGTCTGCTCCTCGCTGTGTGGCCGGCCCTGGGGACCCGCACCCGGGCTTCTCCTCTGTGAAGTGGGGAGAGGGCCCACTTAGGCTCCTGGGGCTGAAGATTTTGTCGGGCGCAAGGTGTGGCCGGCGCGGGGGCCTGTGGCTGACGCGTGTCCCTCTCTGTCCTGCAGATCGGGGCCTCCCTTTTTGCCAGCAGCGAGGGCTCTGGCCTCTTCATCGGATTGGCGGGCTCGGGCGCGGCTGGAGGACTGGCTGTAGCGGGCTTCGAGTGGAATGTGAGCCCCGGGCACCGGTGCAGCCTGTGGGAGGGCTGGGGCCAGGGCGCAGCCACCTTGACCCCCCCATGGGGGCAGCACCCAGCAACGGTGTCAGCCGATGTCCAGGTGGGCTCTGTGCAGTGATATTCCTGGGCAAGTCTGGTCCTCAGGACACCACAGCTGGCAGGGAGCTGTTGGCGGCCCAGGCCGTTAGTGTGCCGAGCCCAGACAGGGAACAGGGCTGCCCAGGTTCTCTGGCACGTCAGGTGGTGGGAGCTAGGCCTCCCACCTGCTCATCCCAGCCACGCCCAGCCGTGCCCCGGCTTGTGAGAGCTGTGCCCATGGTCTCCCCTGCCTCTGTCCCTGCAGGCCACGTACGTGTTGCTGGCGCTGGCGTGGGTCTTTGTGCCCATTTACCTGTCCTCGGAGGTGAGTCTGCTCCCGGGGCCTCTAGCCAGAAGCTGGGCCTTGGTCCAAGTTGGTGGGGGTGATGGGCAGGAGCCCCACGGCCTCACGTCGCAAGTTAGTGAACTCAGGGCTGAGTTTGCTACGAGTCCGACAAACACTCTTATCCACCGTGAAGGCAGCTCCCCGTGGACTTCAGCCCCGGTGCCCTGTCGGCTGGCTTGCACGGTCCTGCATGCTGCGTCTCAGGCGTGACGCTTCAGCCACTCAGGCACATAAGCTGCACAGCTGGGCGGCACAGCTGGCCGCACCATTCTTGACTCTGGCACTCCTGAGTCCAGTCGATTCCACTTCCTGGATCTGCCTCAGCCTGTCCCTGCTCTGCCCCTCATAGCCACGTCCCCCATCCAGCCTCGTCATGGCTCATCTGGATTTGTCCTAACAGCCTCTAAGCGTGTGCCCCGTGCGGAGCCACGGCCCCTCCAGTCCCTTCCTCATCTCAGCCCTGAGGCGCCTTCTCAGCATGCCACTGCCCGGCCCGCAACCCTCAGGACGGTGGGAGCTCAGCCTGGGGCGCCAGGCCTGGGGCTGGGGCGGAAAGGAACCAGGGCCCGGGCCTTGTCCCTGAGGGCTCGTGGCTGCTTCCCGCACTGGGACGGGCCCTGCCCTGAATGTTGGGCCTGTGCCTCTCCAGATCGTCACTTTGCCCGAGTACATTCAGAAGCGCTACGGAGGCCAGCGGATCCGCGTGTACCTGTCTGTCCTGTCCCTGCTGATGTCTGTCTTCACCAAGATATCGGTGAGCTGCCCCACAGCTCCCAGATGGCAGAGCCCGGAATACCCCTGATCTGGGGCCCCTCAAACAGACCTGACTTCCTCACATCCATCCCTGCATACATCCAGCCCTGTTTAACAGCTGGGGAAACTGAGGTCCAGTGAGGGACCCTGAGTTGCCCAGGGCCCTTGAGGTGCAGGCTCGGCAGCTGGCCCCGTCAGTAGCAGAATGTGGCCTAGTGCTTTGCCCCAGGTCCTAGACGTGGGGAGTGTTAGGACTGTCCTCCAGGTGAGGGGTCAGCGCTGGGCCCGCACTGAGGTGTACGGGACTGACCACTAGGGGGCACCAAAGCCCTGCGGTCCAGCCAGTCCCGGGGCAGGTGAGCTCCATCCTTCCGCCTTCCTCAGGGGCCCGGCCCAGCCCGCTGGAACATTAGAGCAGGAAGCACACCCCAAATGTCAGAGTCAGGAGGAGCTGAGTCCCTGGCTTTACAGATAGGGAAACTGAGGCCCAGAGAGGGGAAGGAGCTTGTCCCAACCTCCTAGTGACTCCTGGCAGCATCCGGCCATTTCGGCTGCAGGCTTCCGAAGGGAGCGTGAGCCCTGGGGCTGCCTAATTCTGGCTGAGGGAACTGGACAAGTCCCCGGGCCTCCCTGAGCCTCACTTGCAAGGGTAGGGTGGCCTCCCAGGGCTGCTGCGCCGTCTGCGGGAAGTGTCGTGTGAGGCCTGGCCTACTCCTTGTTGACACCGCCTCCTGGGCCCTCTTGGTCAGCGCTGGGGCCGGGGAACCCAGGTGTGGGTCGGTAGAGAGAGGCCTCACGGGTAGCGGGGAGCTGTGGGCAGGGCACCTGGGATGGGGCCTGGGAGGCTCCGCCAGAGCCCCCGCTGGCCCCTGCGTAGGCTCCCCAGCATCTGGCCTGCTCCCTACCCTCCCGGGGCGTCCCCACCGCGGCCCCGGCCAGCCTCCGTCAGCACCGGTGCCCACGGGCAACTCCAGGACGTGGCCAGGGCATCTCGCCCTCTGCGGCAGGTTCCCGTGAGTGGTCAGCAGCGAGCCTTGCACTGCCGTCTCCACTGGTGCTCTCGGGTAGCCAGGAGGTTTGCTCCCCGGAGACGCCCTCAGAGTCTGGGGGGACATGGCCTTGGGCTGTTCTGAGGACAAGTTCGGAATTTTCTGCTCGCTCTCCTACGTTTCCTGAGCACCCGCCCCAGCAGCAACCTCCCTGGAAGCCAAGACACAGAAACAACCTGAGACCTGGCTCCACCCACCAGGGGCCGCCGCCGCAGGAGGTGGCTGGGTGAACGGACGGGCGGGCACGGGCCTCAGCGGGGCGTGACGGGGCTCGCCGTGGGCATCTGAGTGGGTCCCTGATGGGGACAGGGACACTGATCGGGGAGGGGACAAAGGCCAAGGGCGGAGGCGGGTGGGAGGTGTGTCGGGGGTAGGCTCTAGGGGCCACTGAGTCAGGCACTTCCCGGACCGGATGGCCAGCAGCCTGAGGAGGGGCTGGGTGAGGCGACAGGGAGCGGTGGGGACTGAGGCGTTCTCACCGGCCAGGCCTGTGCGCCACGCTGGCTTCGGGGCGCCACATTTCAACTCCCGGCCTGCCATGAGGGACGAGACCAGGGAGCTCGACCGTAGGGGCCGAGGGGCGCTGTGGCCGTGAGCAGGGTGTGATGTGGTCAGGGCTGCGTGTTCCTGCCCTCTGGAACCTCCTAGAGAGTGGCCCTTGCTTGCCCACGGTCACTGCGAACCAGGCAGAGACCCCGGCCACAACCAGCCTCTCCTGCCGGCCCAGGGGCCCAACTTCGCCGCTGCCCTGAAGCAGCAGGACATGGTCCTCCCAGCCACACTTCCTGGAGGGGGTGACTTGCTTTTCCCAGCTGTGACACGGGGAGAAACCCACTCGTACCGAGGCTGGGGGCAGAGCCAGCGCTGGCCGCCTGGATGAGGCTGGGGGTGCGGGGCTTGCTGCGCGGGAGACAGCGGGGCCGCCCTGGCCGCGGCCGGGAGAGGAGCAGTTCGAAGTGCGCTCGCCCAGCGCCCCTGACCCCAATGGGCTGCGCCCCAGGAGCACCGCCTGTGTCTGCACACGGCCTTGTCCCCAGACAGAGACAGGGCTGCCTGCTGCCATCCCTCAGGGGGGCGCTGGCCTGCAGAGAGGACCTGCAGTGGCAGGGGACGGAGGATCGCCACCCTCAACCACGGGGCAGGGGCCTGAGGTCCAGCTCTATCACTCTGGGGCTCTGGGCCCGCCATTTAACCTCTGGACAATAGGGAAGCAGGCATGGTACCCCACGCCACTGGCTGCAGCCAGACGGCCTCTTGGCACTCCCGCCGACGTCCAGGCATGTCCCGCTCGGGCCTTCACGCTCACCGTAGCCTCTGCCTGGAACCCCAACCCAGCCGTCCCCATGGCAACCGTCAAATCTCCCCTTCACCCTGCACCAGCCGGCCCGCCCCTCACCTGCTGCCCCTCCTCACACGCGGAACCTTCTGGAATGCCGTGTGATGGCTCAGAGCGTCCATCCACTGCCCCCGCCCTGCTTCTCTTTGCTCGTGATGCGTCCCCAGTGCTGCCGCGTCCCCAGTGCTGCTGCGTCCCCAGTGCTGCCGCATGCCCGGCAACTCGCGGGACCAAGAGGGGCGTATGCCGGGCAGCTCACTGCTTTCCGTGGAGACAGCACATGCTAGCAGCTTTGCAGTCCCCGTCTCCGTCCTGACTCACCGGCTCAGCCGTGGCGCCCCAAAGCAGCGGGGGTCAGGCGTGCGGGTGTGGCCTGCGGGTGCCACTGCCTTCCCGTGCACCTACCGTGTGCCCGGCTCGGGGTGAGCGCCCACCACTGGCGCTTTCCAGACAGCCGAGATGAAGAAACGGACCGTAAAATCATAATAAATGGGCAAAGGGCGATAAACGCAGTGAACACGGGCAGAGCGAGGAGCGGAGAGAGCGGGCGGGGCAGCTCGCTGAGAGTGACCGGGCGAAGTGCCGCCTCGGGCAGAGGGGCCGGGAGCTCAGAAGCTGGCGGGGCTGGGCTCTCCGGGCAGGAAGGGGCAGCGACGCGGACGGGACCCGCAAGGTCCCCGGGCAGGGCCGGCATGCTCGCGTGGGCCTCGTTGCCGGCTTGGTAGAAATGCGGGCGCCTCCGGATTTCCTCTGAGCAGGCTGGGTGCAGGGGGCCAGGGAGGGGCTTGCAAAGGGACGGGCCTGGCGTGCGGTAGCAGTGGGGTGGGTGGGACGCAGGGGATGTGGCAAAGGAGGGAGGGGTGTCTGGTCTGAGCCCCTGAGGGTGGTGACATCTATGCAAACGGACGAGGTTTGGAGGCACAGGACGCAAGGGAGGGTCTGAGCGGAGCTCACACAGCAAACACGCAGTGTCAGGGCAGGGCCCACCCCAGCCTCTCTGCTGCCCCATGGAGGCTGGGCGAGGAGGGTTCCATGGAGGAAGGTGGCCTGGTGGGACGGCGGGGGCCCAGGTGAGGGGCAGCTGGAGCACCAGGCATCCCCCCACCTCCTTCCGCCTCAGACGTGCCCTAGAGTGGACTGGGTGCCATGCAGGGTCCAGTCCACAGGGAAGACAGCAGTTAAAGTCCCACTCACACCTTTGCCTGAGCTGGTCCTGCACCTGGGAGACCCCTCATGGCAGGGGGAGGGGTGAGTCAGCCATCCCCAAGGAGCAGAGGGGTATGGGACACTCTGGGACGGCCGGGTTTGGGAAGGCGAGGGGCAGAGTCTGGGAAGGCCGTGGGCATGGGAGATCGGGCATAGAGTGACGGGTGAGTCTGCTGCAGCCAGCGCCTGGAGGCCGGCACGGACGGGGCTCTGTCCTGGAGAGAGGTGGCCGGGGCCAGCGAGGGGTCTTGAGCAGCGGCTGAGGGAAGACAGGTGTCGGGGCTGGCGCTGCAGGCTTTTTTTTATACACACCTCCTGCCCCCTCCTGGCTTTTCCTTGCTCAGCAACTCCAACTCTGATGTCTACCAGGGGCCTGACTTTGGGGAAGTCCCTTCTCCCAGGGCCTTGGTTTCTCCCATAGTCTGACGGGGCGAGGGCGAGAAAGTCCTTCTGCTCCGGTATTCAGCACCTCTGGGCTTCTCTGCTTGGGCTGGAGGCAGATACCATCTCTGTGAACCACTCCGTGCACACGGACACACACACATGCACATGCTCCCACATGCACACACACATGCACACACATGCACACACACATGCACACACGCCCACATACACACACACACACGCACACACATGTGCACACACACCCACATGCACACACACCCACACGCACACACATGTGCACACACACCCACATACACACCCACCCACATGCACACACACCCACGTGCACATGCACTCACATGCACACACACCCACATGCACACACACTCACATGCACACGCATGCACATACTCGCACACACTCCCACATGCACACATGCACACTCACATGCACACATGCACGTGCACACACACACTGCCGCAGCCAGGGCCAGGGTGGGGGCAGTGCTCTCCCAAGAGTACCCGGTCAGAGTTTCCAAACTGGCCGGTCTCTCCAAGAGAGGGTTAGGGAGGTGCCTTCAAGGAGAGGTGCAGGCCTTGGAGGTATCTTGGAGCCAGATCCCCGTGGCCTGGGACCTGTGTCCCTGGGGCTGGGACTGGGCCAGGGACAAGTGGGGTCCCTGGAGCCTGGCCCCAGGCAGGGCTGGTCTGCTCCAAGTTGGGCCAGGCCCTGGGGAGCTTGAAGGGGCCTGAGGCCTGCACCTCCTGAACCTCAGACTGAGGTATCCCCCATACCAGCCAGAGGGCTCTGTGACGCAAGGCCGGGGCCAGAGGCTGTGTTTTCGGTTATGTCCCCTCTACTGAGCCAGCACAGAATGAATGGTAGGTTTGGGGACTTGAGGTGGAGCCTTTTACCCAGACCCAGGTCCTGCAGGGCAGGGTCCAACCCTCCTTTTCTCTGGCTCTCAGAGGGTGGGATTATGGGCTGTAAGGCCCACTCCAGATTGAGCCTGGCCTTCCCCACATGAGAGCTGCTGTCCCACACGTGGCCCCAGGTTCTGGAACGGCAGAGGCTGTGTCCAGTCCAGCCTGGGCCCAGCCTTGGCCTGAAACATGGGCCTCTGAGCCACCCCTGGCTTCGGTTCCAACCCCACAGGGCGGGGGTGGTAAGAAAGACTGCCTCACCGCCCCCCGGCCCGCCCTGGCACGCACAGTTCCCGAAGCCCACCAGTCTCCACCGACACCCCCATGAACTCCTCTTGGACGACGCCTTGTCAAGGTGCCTTTATTTCCCTGCCAGGGCCAGATGCAGTAACAACGCTGCTCTCGGGTGGGCGATGGCCAGTCGCACTTTATTAGAACAGCAACATCCCCTGTACATCTGGCTTGTCCCTCCTCCCCACAACAGCCCTGTGGTGCAGGCGGGCAGCCGGACGGGGCCTCCCCTCCTCAACCACAAGGGCAACCCAGAGGCCCTTGCCCAGGGTCACATGGCGGGTGAGTGGCTTGCTGGACCGCTGGGTCTAACGGCGACCTGGGACGTCCACACAACACTGTCTCCCTCCCCAGCTGGACCTGTATGCCGGGGCTCTCTTTGTGCACATCTGCCTGGGCTGGAACTTCTACCTCTCCACCATCCTCACGCTGGTCATCACGGCCCTGTACACCATCGCAGGTACGCTGCCCCTGCCCCACGGGGCTCCGGGGACGGGTGCGGGAGGCAGAGGGCCCCTCCTCCTCCAGGCCCGGGGGGCAGCCTGCACAGTGGCCAGGTGGAGTCGAGCCCGACTGAGGCTCAGCTCACCTGCGTATAAAGGGCAGGGCCGTGCATGGGGAACAGCCACCTCGGAGGAGCTCTGCAAGTCCCTTCCTGTGTCTGTCCTCCCTGGGGCCAGGTCCCCTCCAGCAAGCTTGTTTCCACCGGCAGGGGGCCTGGCCGCTGTGATCTACACGGACGCCCTGCAGACCCTCATCATGGTGGTGGGGGCCGTCATCCTGGCGGTCAGAGGTGAGGGCTGAGGACTGTGGGCTGCAGCTGCGGGGGGGCTGTCCAGCAGCAAGCCCTCTGGGGACTGGTGCTGCGCACCAAGCTGTCACCAGCTCCAGGCTGGCTCTGGGTCTGGCGAGGAGCTGACTCAGGAACACTGGGCTGGTCCAGTGAGGCAGGGCCACAGGCAGGTGTGTAGACACATGATTAGGAGGCCACAAAACTGCCTGGGCATCTCCTCCAATTGTTTCACATCTTGTACAAAATCCCAAGAGTTGATGCCACCTCCTGCTAGACAAAGGTGTTCGGTAGGGGGCGGGAGAGAAGAGAGCTTAGACATATTGGCAATATTAACCTGGAACAAATAGGAAGCTTGTGGGGCTGCGCTGTAAGGTAGTGAGCTCCCTGTCCCTGGAAGTATGCAAGCAGAGCCAGGAGAACCCCGCAGAGAGTTCAAATACTCAATACACGGAGACCTTCAAATACTCCTCCAGACTCAGACTGGGAACCTGTGCAGTGTTTGTTTGCTCTGAGCCCCACAAGGATCCTTGGTATGAACACAGCCCCTGGCCTAGAGCAGGGCCGGGGAGGCAGGCAGCAGCCTTCTTGCCCTTCCACAGGATGGGGAATGAGGCCTGGGGTGGAGACAGGGGTTTTCCCACCTCCAGGCTCCTCCCTCTCGGAACAGGGGCCCGTGTCCCTCAGCCCGCTGCACGAGAGGGACCCAGGCAACCAGGCCGTGTGGACAGGAGGGGAGCAACCACAGACGGCAAAAGCCACAAGCGGGCCAGGGCTTGGCCACGCAGGGCCCTGACCCTGAGGTAGAAGGAACAGTGGGGCAAGTGTGGCAAGTGTGGCCTGGACTTAGGAGGACAGAGCCCTGGCCTGACCCCTCCCAATGGACCGTGACCTTGGTGGGGCCCCTGCCCCTGCCTGGACCTGCGGCTCCGGGGAGGGCGCAGCCACTCTTAGCTCTGTCTCTGGGCGCCCTGGCCAGACACTCCAACACTTCAGACGCCTCAGGAAGGTGTCACGCCCGAGCAAACACACTCGTGCTGGCCCATGGCCGGCAGGCACCCACAGGCAGCAGTGACCCTGCCCGGCTAGCCAGACACTGGGGTCCCCACGTGCAAAACGCTCATTTAATAGTGCTACTTAAATACAAATAAAATAGTCATCTTGTTTTTTTACACCCTCTACCCTCCACACCTTTCCCAACACTGGGAAGGACGCGGTGGGAAAGACTAGAGTTTGGAGTGTCAGGAAGTTACGTGCGAGATGAGAGTGGTGGGAGCCCAGAGTCAGGTCCCCCAACCTCCAAACTGTCCTTGTCCCTTGCCCTGATCCCTCCAGCTTTCGAGCACATCGGTGGCTACGGGCAGCTGGAGGCAGCCTACGCCCAGGCCGTGCCCTCCAGGACCATCGCCAACACCACCTGCCACCTGCCGAGGGCAGACGCCATGCACATGTTCCGGGACGCCCACACAGGGGACCTGCCGTGGCCCGGCATGACCTTCGGCCTGACCATCATGGCCACCTGGTACTGGTGCACTGACCAGGTGAGTGCCAGCATCCCTGCCCACCCCCCTTCCCGCCACCCCAGGCGGGCTGCGGGGGCACAGGCGGCCGTCAGCTCTCCTGCATCGCGAGTCTGGGCTGGGCGAGGCCTGGGGGCATGGCTCCAGGCTGGGGCAGGCTGCTAGGGGTCCTTGGGGTCCTGGGGGGCCTGAGCCCTCCGTTTGGAGTCGGATGAGGCCCACTGGCCGCCGCCTGTCTTGGCCTTCAGGTGCTTCGACTGAGACAGTTTGGAGTACGGGATTCCGAAGGGGCTCGGATGCTCCTCAGCGGCCCGGCCACCGGCCAGGGGCTGTGCATTTCGGGCCAGCCTGGGGCTCGCAGGGTCTGGCAGCACGCGGGGTGTCGGGCCACCCCTGGCCTGCCAGTGGTGAGGGCCTGCCTTCCTGGCAGAGCTCTGGGCGCCGTCAGCAGCAGCGCGGTACCGAGAGGCTCCTGGGAAGCCATCTTTACTCCTGGTCCCCGAGGCAGGGACCCTACAGTGCTGGAACTGCTGGCCCTGGGAGAGAGAAAGCAGAGTGAGACCCCGAGGCTGGGGGCAGGGAGGGCCAGCACCACCCCCAGCACAGGGCCATCCCCAGGCATGCCGGAGCGGGCAGACCTGGGTTCGCCTCCTGGCTCTGCCATTCATCAGCTGGTTTAACCATTCTCTGCCTCAGTTTCCTCGTCTGTCATATGAAGCAATTCTGCCTTTTGTGGCCGTGATAGGCGAGTTCCTGCTGCTCTTCCTCACCCCCCACCTCTACCTGTGCCCGGGCCAGGTGTGGGCGGAAAAAGCCTGCCTGGGGTTGTCGAGGCAGCGCCGGGATTTCTGCTGAGTGCAGGGGGTGACTCAGGTCCTGTCCCGGCATGAGCCCTCCCAGGTGACCTCAGACAAGCCACTTGTCCTCTCTGGGCAGAAGCAGATGGCGCCCCGAAGGCCGTGGGCGTCCGGGCACACGTGGGAGGGGAGGCCCGCGCAGCAGCAGGGGCCGCGTGGCCCGGGCCCAACTGTCCGCGCCTCCGGACCCACCCTGGGGCCCCGCCACGGAATGAGGCAGCCAGGCCAGGAGGCCAGGGCCAGCTGCCGTGCCCTCACACAGCCTTGCCTGTGAGTAGGCCCAGCCGGCCCGTCACAGGCCAGAAACAGGCCCAGAGACGGAGCCGGATCCAAACCCAGAGCGGAGTGGCCTGTCCGGGCTCCAGCCCGGCTTCTCCCCCAGCAGCAGGGGCTCCGGCAGCATCCGCCCGAAGACGCCCCTGGGTTCCAACACTGAGAAGTGATCGGGCTGGGAGGGGTCAGAAGCCCAGGGAGCCTGGGCCTTGGTTTCTCCATCTGTAACACGCGGCCCTCAAGCAAGCCCCTCCCACTCTGGCACCCTCCACTCCAGAGAATCCACATCGGCCTCGCCTCACGCGGGCCCTTCCCGGGCACCAGTGGGCACTCGGCAGGCATGTGCCCGGCTCCCATGGGAGGGCTGAGTGGGCGAGGGGCTGGCTGAACGGTTGGCCATGGAGGGCAGGACAGGCACTGGATGCCCCTGCGGCTGTGCCTCTTTACCCTGGCCACCCCCGTCCCCCCAACACAGGGCAGGCCTGGCCCGGCACGGGCATCTCTGGGTGGAACGCCATTCAGGAGATTTTCCCATGAAGGCCAAATGAGTCAGCACATGTCCCGGCCTGGGGTCAGGGCTGGATGGGCTCCAGTGCACAGAAGAGGAGGCCAAGGCCCAGGGAGGGTCACACAGGGAGGAGGACAAGGGACACTCTGACCCCAGGTGGTCCAGGGCATCAGCCGGCATCAGGCCCTCGGCCAGGCGCCTGCCCTTCCTGTCCTCCTCCCCTCCAGCCGGGGCTGCCTGGAGCCGCAGGGCCTCGGTTCAGAGCCCCAGCTCCCCTGGCGGGGCCGGGCCTGCTCAAGGCTCCCCAGTCTGCGCGGCTCTTGTTGGGACCTGGGGACTTTTCAGGGCGCCTGGGTCTGACTGCACCCAGCTCCAAGGCCAGGCCGGCCAGAGGGCAGCAGCAGCTCTGCGTGGGAGACACGGGAGCTTTTGTTTTCTTCTTTTTTAGACTTTTCACTGTCTTCTGGCTCATCCACGATGAGCAGGTGGAGCTTTTGTAATCAGGAACAAACAAGGCCACTGACAAATAAAGAGGCAGAGGACCCTGTGGGCAGAGCCCTGCCTGGGCTCCCGTGTGAGCTCTGACACTGCCCCTCCTCAGGCCTCAGTGTCCCCATCTGCATGGAAGGCCACCTGGGGTCTGCCAGCTCCTGTCACCTGCTGACGCCACAGCTCGAGACGGGCGTCCTCCTCATTAGCGGCAGCGGCAGCCTCAGTTGTAACAGCAGCCACAGCTTTCGTGGTCAGCCGTGGCTGCCTCTGGTGGCCACACCCTAAGACGTACGGAGGAAGGGAACTCACATCTGCTGAAGGCCCTTCACGGGCCGGGCACAAGCTCGGCCATCTGCACCTGAGGCCTCGCTTCGTCCTTGCATCAGCCCTGCGGGTCGGGGTATAACCTGTTTGCAGAGGAGGAGCCGGGGTTCGGGAGGAGAAATGACCAGCTTGGGAGCGCGTGTGGGCCCGGCCAGGACTGAGAGGGACTAGGGGGACAGTGGCCCGCTGACATGGAGGGGAGGGCCCCAGCCTGCTCCCTGACACTCGGGGTGGGGGACCCTGTCCTGCTGGGTGGGGGCTGCAGGCCTCAGGGTTCACAGAAACTCTGAGCCTCAGCTTGTCTGCCCTGCCAGGAGCACAGAATGAAGCACAGATGCCAACGTCCCTGTCCATGGCAGAACATGATGTGCAGGTGGCAGGTGCTCCCGTGAGAACCGAGGCCAGGCTCCTGCAATCACAGGACAGTTGAGGGGAAGAGTCTAGACAGAACCTCTCATTGTCCAGGTGGGGAAACTGAGGCCCAACTGGGGCAGGACTTGTCCCCAGTCACGGCAAGCTGGCAGAGAACCAGGAAGGGCCTCAGCTTGCCCCACCTTCCTAAGGCTGCAGCCCACGGACACTCTTTGCCTCTGTAATTAAAGTTTCGGTGACAGCCACGCCTTGGGGTAAATGCTCGGAGCTACCGTTAGGCTGGCATGCTTGGAAATGAAGCAAAAATCGCTGGCAATTCCTACTTCTGAGTCACAGGTGGTGATTTAAACTGTGGAACAGCGAAAGAGAGATACTATATTTCAGAGTTCCAGCCACACGACTGTGAACGTATAAAGAACACAGGAGTGCACACTGTAAGTGGGTGCCGTGAGGCCAGCGAATTGTATCTCGACAAAGCTGTTATTAGGCTTACACTTCTTTTTTCAATAGAATCACAGTATCAGAGCTGGGAGGGATCTCAGACGTCCTCAGTCCAAATCACCACTTCGTCCTCCCACTATGCAGATCTGGAAACTGAGGCCCAGTTAGGATTTGTCTAAGTCCCAGAGGAGCTGGTGCCCTCGGGCAGCACCCAGCCTCCCCACAGCCCAACTGCAGCTTCCCGGATCCCAGCTCTGAAAGCCCCCGTCTCTGCCAGCCGCAGTAACACAGTGTGCCCGTGCCGATCCTGGCACTCTGAACGTGCCAGCCACTCTTGCGAGGGCCAGGAGATGAGGGTCGGGGTGTCGTGGCGCTGACTGTCCCATGGGTCTCTCCCAGCCCTGACAGCTGTCGGGGCAGGATCCAAACTTCCCTACTGACAGGCGAGGACTGAGTGCCCGGGAAGGAGTGTGCCTTGGCCCTCGCTGCTCGGCCAGCCAGGGACAGAGCCCCTGGTGGGATGCTGTCAGGCCTGGGGCCCTGAGTGTGGCTGTCTCGGGCAGGTCGGGGGCCAATGGGACAGTGCTGTCTCACACCACCCCCTCAAGCCCACGAGGGACTAGTCCTGACATGGGCAACCCCTGGGCTGGAACTCACTCGTCTCTCACCCACCCCCAGGTCATCGTGCAGCGGTCACTGTCCGCCCGGGACCTGAACCACGCCAGGGGCGGCTCCATCCTGGCCAGCTACCTCAAGATGCTCCCCATGGGCCTGATCATCATGCCAGGCATGATCAGCCGGGCGCTGTTCCCAGGTAGGACGGGCACTGGGTGCTGAGCCCAGGCTACGGGACACCCAGGGTCTGGGGTGTCCTGCAAAGGCCACCAGGAGGAGAGGCAAGGCATCCATGCCAACGTTTCCCACCCTGGTGGGGGCAGAGGGGAGAGTGGTCCCCAGGGCTACAATCAAAGGGGTCGACATGGAGAGGGCCTGGCACAAGGTCTGGACCAGTAAGGCTTGTGCTGTGTGGCCTCAAGGCCGTAAAGGAACGAATCCCTGCCCCGCCGTTCCATCGTCTATAGACTAGGGACTGTACCAGCCCCCTGGCAGGTGGCAGCAAGGTCCCATGACAGGTGTTCGAGACTCTGGGTCTGCCCTCTTAGGTTGCCTGCCGGGGACGCTGGGACCAAGGGGCTCCAGCGTCAGCGATGGTCTGCCACGTGGCCCTGGGTGGGCCCCACCCTGCCCGTTCATCAGTTTCCCCATCTGCAACAAGACAGCCATTGGTGCCAGGGAGGTGGTGGCCCCGATGGCAGCTCCGGGCTCTCAGGCAGCGTGCAGGGAGGGGCGCGCAGGGCCCCGACCCACCTGTGCGTCCTTGTCCGAGCGGCGCTGGGCCTGCATCCTCCTTGGCACGTCCGCCTCTTCTCTCCCCCGACCCTGGGCCCACGGGGAGCCCCCCAGGGGCCCGCCAAAGGTCCCTCGGGTGATGTGGGGGGCACTCAGCTGGCGGCGGGGCGGCGGGGCCGGGCCGTTGGCCACCTGCTCCGAGTGGCGCCTCTGGAGAGGGGCTGAGCGCTCCCTCACCTCGAAGTACTCGTCCGACATGGAGGAGGCCGCTGAGGGCCGCCGGGGGCCCAGGCCACGGCTGGAGCTGCCCGAGAGGCTGTCCTGGTCACTAAGGGTCACATAGTCATCGTCATCTTCCTCCTCCTCCCGGTCCAGCCCATTCGGGATCCCTGCCCCGAGGCCGTGGGGGTCATCCTGGGTCACTGACAGCTGCCGCTGGAGCGGGGCCTGGCCTGGGCCCACCGGCCTGGGCAGACTGTGGCCTGTCCCGTTCTGGGGTGCCTCCTCCTCTGGGGTCCCCACGGCCCAGCCAACACTGCCATCGTCGTGGGCTAGCAGGTCTGCCACAGGGACTGTCCGGGGCTTGGGCACGGGGGGCAGTGGCTCAGGGTCGACCTGGGGGAGGCCGTTCTGGGCTGGGGCGCCGTCCTGGAGGGCACTGGGCCCGGGGGCAGGGCGGAGCTCTGGGGCGGTGCCACCGTCCTGGCTCTGCTTCCACAGCTGGTGCTGGGCGCTGGCCTGGGACGTGTCGCGGATCTTGATGCGGTTCATCTGGCTGGGCTGGGGGTTCCAGATGTTGGGGTCGATGATGTTGATGTAGCCCAGGATGTCACTGCCCGGCTCGGGGTCAGGCTCCACCCACGTGGGCAGGTACTCAAACATGTTGGCCCTCTCCAGGTGGAGCAGCCCGGGGTGGATGGGCGGCAGCGGCTCGGCCAGGTCTCCTGGCCCCTCGGCCAGCGCCGGGCCCCGCAGCCCCGGGGGCCTCTTGGCCTCCTGCTTGTCAGAGGTCTTGGCGATCTCGTCGGCGCTCTTGGCCTTGACCAGCGCGTACTTGGGGTTGACGAGCTTCTTGGCCACGGTGCCCGCAGGCACCAGGGGCACCACGGAGGGCAGCAGGATGGGCTCCGGCTCCGGCTCCTTCTCCATGGGAATGTCCTTGAGGCTGACGCTGTGCGACATGAGGTACAGCTCCTGGAACTGCCGGTCGAACATCTCCACCACCTGGCCGGACAGCACGGAGATCACGTTGCGGTCCGTCCTCGCGGCCGACCACGTGAAGCTGCAACACAGAGGGAGGGCGGCGCTGGTCAGGCGCGGGGCCTGCCTCCCGCCCCGGGCCCGGCCCCACCCCCCGGCCCCCCAGCTGGTGTGTCTCAGGCTTTGGCTGCAGGGCCCTGGGACGGAGAAGTGAGCAGGGCAGCGGCGGGGCACAGCCGTGGGGCAGATCCGAGCTGCGCCCTCAGGTGAGGCACCCGCACAGCGGCTCGGCGCCGCGCTCCTCTCAGACTGGAGCCGCCAGGGCGGCGTGAGATGGCCCAGAGCAGCCCCGCTCTGCAAAGTAGAGGTCACGTAGCACATGGCAACTAGGGCCGCATCGGCGCCTCTGCCGTTGCCGGCCGAGTGTCTGCGGGCAGCCCTTGCCCCACTGGCCCGCGTGGAGCTGCCCACGCCTTGCGGGCTTGGGAAGGCACAGCCTGGCCAGCCCATACCCTACTCCAGGCTGGTGACGCCAGGATGGAACAGCAGTGTCTCTGGACAAACGCCCTCCTCTGCCTGTCTCCAGAGACAGACGGGCGGGCGGGTGTGCCCTGGCCCCACGCGCAGCTCAGCAGTTTTGGGCCCAGTGAACCGGAATAACGAGGGTGTCATGGTCGGGATTAAGGGCAGAGACCGGCTGGGAACCAGAGGCGCCTCTGCCCCAAGCCCCCAGAAAGCCAGGGAGTCACCTGTAGGAGCCACACACGGCCCGGTCTCCATCCACAAACATGAACTTCTGGGCCAGGGCACCCTTGAACTTGGTCGCCGACCGCGTGAAGAACTCGGTTCCCCCGCTGCTCCGCACTCTGAGGTTCTGTGTTGGGGGCAGGAGACGGAATTACACGCACGGCACGGACTGCGCTGCCCGGGCTCGGGGGCTCTGGGGGCGCAGGTGGGAAGGAAGAGGCTATAAGGCCTGGAGCAAGGGGGTGGCGTGGGCCCAGTGTAAGGAGGGACACGGAGCCGGAGAGCAGAGGGAGCCTGGGGACAAGGGGTGAGGGGCGCGACGGTCGTGCTTTGGCCCCAGAGGCGTGTGAGGAGCAGCACCGCGAGGGGTGAGACTTGCCCGGCCACGCCAGGCTGGAACCGTGGCTGGGGGGTGGGGGCTGTGGCAAGGTCCTGAGTGGGAGGTGACGTTCACGCACTTCATAATAGAAATGCCCCATGGACGGCTGGGGGGCTGTGCAGCTGGGAACGGGGTGGGGAAGGGACGCAGGAAGGGTGCCTGCCCCGAGGAACCTGGGCCTCACGCTGGCAAGTGTGTGGCCTTCCAGGACGAGTGGCTGCCTGGCCCCCCCACATTCGTCTCGACACCCAGCTCATTGTCCCCGCTGGGCTCTGCGCTCCACGGCAGGGCTCATAGCAAACTCTCTTCCTTCCCTGTGGCCAGGACCCTGCCTGGCACCCAGGACAGGCTCAGTAAGGGGTCAGGTTTGAGTCTTCACCAAGCTTGCACTGTCCGGCCCGGGAGCGAGCCAAGAAGGCTCTCGGAGACCACGGCAACGGTGACCATGGACCAGAGAGAGGACAGGGCTCCCGGGCAGGAGCAGCACAGCGGGCCACCAAGCACCTCGGCTCCAAGGCCAGGTCGCTGCTGTGGAAAGGACCTCTCCCCCAGTGCAGAGGCTCTGGTGCTGCAGGCTGGGGTGCGCCCCCACCCCGCTCTGGGGACGGGCATGCAGGAGAGGCCAGTGCTGGGCACGGCAGACCCCGGGAAGGGCAAGGCAAGCCGGGCTGAGACCGGCTTCTGAGGAATGGCGGAGGGCATGCAAAGTAGACCCTAAGGTGGGAAGGAGACCTGGGGCTCATCCGGTCCAACTGGCACCAGCACACTGTGGGAAATGTAGGCTCCTGGGCACCCTCAAAGTCTGACTCAAGAGGCCTGTGGTCAGCTGGGATTTTCAGTTTTAACATAAGCCCCAGGGATTCTGACACCTGCTCAGGGCAAGAACCCGCTCAGTGGCATCCTGACTGGTCTGCTTGCATGCCTCCTGTGACGGGAGTCTCACTCCTTCTGGAGAGGCTCTGTGCCAGCTTTGAGCTCTCAGCAGTGACATGTTCTTTGTCAGACTGAGCTGTGACTTACCCGTGTCCCCTCACCCACTCACTGGCCCCAGCTTGTAACTGCCCACTCGTTCATCGAGCCCTGCCGAGGCCCACAGCTGTCACACAGGGATGACTGTGACAAGGACCCCACCTTGGAGGTGAGGGGGAGGCAGGCGAGTAAACAAAAACAACTGGGAGTGCCCTGGACCACAGAGGAGCGGCCCGAGGCTCAAGGGCTGGCAGGGGAGGCTCCCGAGAAAGGATGGCGTGGGCCGGCGTGGGAGGAGGGTGAGCATTTCGGGCGAGGGACACACAGGCCCCGCACAGGAGAGCACCTGGAGGAGGGGTAGGCGACACAGCTGCAGAGCGGGCTGGGCGGGTTGCTGCGGACAGGACCCGCACCTGCTGAACGGCCCGGGCCTGGCCACGGACGTGGGGAGGCGAGAATTTAGAGCAGAGTGGCGGGCGGGGCTGGACCTGCATCTCAGGAGCGGAGCTTCCTGCGTCTGGGGGGGAGGACCCGCGAAACGAAGGGGGAGGCTGCCATGGGCGAGGGGGCCTCCCGCCGTCCTCCAGCTCCTGCCCCTCAGTCCCTTCTGTCTCAGAGCCCTGTGGCTGGGGCGCCCGGGACAGCACCCACGGAGGCTGGTGGGCGTGGCCCGGGGTGAGTCCCCGAGTCCCCACATGCCCACTGTGGGGTGAATGGTCGCCTTGTCGTGGGCGCCAGCTTCTGCTCCCAGGGCCGCTCTGCACAGGCTGCCTGTCCCACAGCCAGCTCAGCAGGAAGCTGGCCACGGCCCAGAGCAATTAGTGCTCGTGACTTTGTACCCAACACAGAGCACGCTCAGGACAAGAAATCAGACAAAGATCTTGGAGGGGGTGTGAGCCTTCCCTGTCACCCGAGCCCGACCACAGCGAGGCTCCTCGGCCTCTGCGGGCTCCTGGCCTGGCCACAGGCCCCTCCTCAGCCTGGGAGACCAGCCAGAGCCTCTACACTCCTCTCCCTGGTGTCTGTCCCCACCCACCCCTTGTCCTGGTGAAGGGCTCAGAAAGTCACCACTTCCACCTCAGGCTGACTCAGCTTGCTGTGCCGCTGATCGCCCTGTGACCCTAAGCAAGGCTCTGGACCTTTCTGGGCCTTAGTTTCCCCGTCTGCACTCTCGGGAATTCTTGGGCCACCCCCCTGGGGCTCAGCAGCAGGTAGGGGTTTGTGGCAGGGCCCACCCGTTGCCTCCTGGCCTGCTCCCCAGCTCGTTCCAGGGCGGCCCCACCCCACGGGGCCTGGCCCGGATGAGGTAACGTCTCGGGGGCTGGGCTCGCGTGAGCAGAGGTGAGGTTCCACAAAGCCGCATTGTCTCTCAGCTCCTGGGGCACCCCCAGCACAGGATGGGCGGATGGGGTGGAGGGACACCAGGCTGGCCCAAGTGGGGTGCCCTGGGCAAGCCCTTGGACCCCCGATGCCCCAGCTTCCTCGTATGTAAGAGGACGTCAGGGGCAAGCCAGGGCAGGGAGGGCGTCTGGGCGGCGCCTCATCTGCTCTCAGTGTGTGTGGGCAAGGCGGTGGGCACCAGGGCTCGGGCAAACTGCCACACCCTGCCCGGAATCCCCTAGCCTCCTGTGCCTAAGGACACGTGACCTGACCCTGTACTGAGCCCACTGGCATCTAGGCCTGGGCCGGTGTGGGGCAAAGGGGACTGAGGCCAGGGCCCGCTGGAGCACGGTGGGTCCAGGCATTCTTGAGCTCCAGTCAAACATGGCTCTAGCCCTGGTGCCAAATGGATGCCAACTAGGCCTTTCCATACCTCAGTTTTCCTATCTGTGAAATGGGCCTGCCCACCTTTGGGCCACAGGGCTGCTGTGAGGACTGATGAAGCCTCGGTGCAGGGGGGACCCACTCAGGCAGGTGCCTGGCCTTCGGTGGGCACCCCACGAACCTGAGCTGGCACAGCTGGCTATGGAAGACCAAGGCAGAGGACCAGAAAAATCTGGGATGGCATGGACCCTCAGGGAGGCCAGGATTGTTGGCCCTACTCAGTGGATGGCCAGGTGGACTCAGGGAGGGAAGTGACTTGCCCACGCTCCCCCAGCGAGCTGGGCCCAGCCCAGACCCAAGGCCAGGGCTCCAGCGGCACCACGGTGGGTCCTCACCGCCCACTCTCCAGCATCTCCTGGGCTGGAGGAGCAGTAGGGAGGCCCAAAGATGCACCCTGACCAGGCCTGAGCTGAACAGAGGTCAGGCCAGGAAAAGCCAGGTGTGAGGAACACAGGGGACACAGGTGGATGGGAGAGGCAGGAGCCCGAGTCTCTGTCGTGCTGGGCCCCAGCCGGCCTCTGCTCTCCTCTAAGGGCTCGTCTCATTCTGTGAACCTCCATAGGTGCGCAGGGCAGTCCGCACTCACCCTGGCTTCCTTGGGCTACGTGCAGTTGGGATGGGGAGCCTTTTGTAAACTGCCTGTGGCCTAAGGGATGTGACGGGGACAGAGGGGATCTGACGGCAGGGACAGGGCAGGGCTGAGCCAGCCTGGCTCCAGGGCCCTTCCTTGCCTGAGGGGACAGGGCTGCTCGGCCAGGGCATGACATGTGGTGGGACCTGCCCCGTGCACTGTAGAATGTTGAACGACATCCTTGGCCTCTACCCACCACATGCCGGGAGTACCCCCGAGTTGTGACAATTAAAAATGTCTCTGGACATGGCCAAATGTCCCTCAGCAGGGCAAACCGCCCTGGTCGAGAGGCCCTCCCTAAACCCCGAGGCCCGGACCAGAGAAGGCAGCACCCGGGCAGGCCCAGGGAGGGGGAGCCCCGGCCACCGATGGGCTGGGCCAGGCCGTCCACCATGAGACCCAGCTGCCGCTGGTCCTCACATCTTCACCACGTCCCTTCCCACGCCATCCCAGCTGACGTTCTTTGTTCCTCAGAAATAGGTCTGGCTTCGCCCAGGGGCTGCTGGTTTTTCCTGTTTGGCTGCACAAACCGACTAGCTTTTCAGATGGGCCAGGCATCCATGGTCCTGTTTGGTCCTAAGCCGTGAGCCCCGAGGCCCAGCCCGGCTCTCGTTGGCTCGGGCATATCCCTCCACACCAAGTGTCACCCCCAAATGCAGCCAAGTCATGCAGCCTGCATGTGACCCTGGGGGGTGGGGGTGGAAGGCTAGGCCCTCTTCCCAGGTCTGCTCCCCATCTGTAATGTGGGGTGACCCTGCCCTTACTCCCACCTGAAGAGCCGGCTGGAGCCGGCTGAGCCAGCAGGTGCTCAGGGATGGCTGGGAGCTTCACAGCTGGGGAGATGCTGGTGGCACGTTGCCCCCACCTCACCCAGGGACCGGGAGTGGGCTCGGCCCAAGCAACACGCTGCCATCTCCTGAATGTGACGGTGTGGGCTCAACGCTAGCAGGAAGGAGCCAAGGGGGTGGACCCCAGCCAGACCCCGTGCGGAGGGAAAGGGAAGCCTTGCGGCACTTAGAGCAGAGCGGGTCTCGCGGGAGGGGCCGGCCCATCCCCACCCAGTCAGGACGGAAGGGAGCCCTCCTACACGTGGTCTTCACTCGTCACAGCAGCCCTGCCAGATCAATGACAATATCCCCGTTTTTATACAAGACAACAGAGGCCCAGAAAGACTCAGTGATTCTGCCCAAGCTCCCCGGGCAGAGCTGGCACACAGGCTTGGCTCATGGTGTCACCCCTGAACTGGCACCCAATACCTCTGTGGTCACAAGGATGACCCTGCCAGGCACAACCTGCACCTTCAGCCCAAAGGATCCGAGGCAGGTCGGCGCAGAGCTGAGGAGGGGTGGCAGCTGGCCAAGGGCGGGCCCCGGGATCAGTGGCGAAGGAAGTGCTTCGGAGACAGGTCTGGGCCCAGCCAGCCCACGGGCAGGGAGGTCGGCCAGGCAAGCAGGCCCTGAGCAAGGTGACACTAGGCCAGGGCTGGGTCCACAGGAGCCTCTGGCCTCCCGCCCAGGGCTGTCAGGGCTGCAGAGGTGGCAGGTTCAGAGCTGAGAATGAGGAAGCCGGGTCACTTTCCCATGAAGGCGTCTGGCTCCTGGGTATGTCACCCTGCAGACCCTGCCACCTTCCCTGGAGAGGGAGGCAGGCTAGGCCAGGGACCCGCAGTTGAGAGCTGCCCTCCCCCTGCCCCGCGTGGTCATGGGCCAGCCAAAGGGCGGGGGTAGAAAGGGGAAGGACTCACACCCAGCCTCTGCCCCAGCCTGGGGTCTGGGGTCTCTAATCTATCGCTACTGCCAGCAGCCGCACGACTACCCTCTGCGTGCAGAGCACTTTTACACCTCTGTCTCCTTCAATTCCATCCTCAAACAACCCCATGAGGCATCATTATGGCCATGTGGTGCTGGAGCCGCCCAGGAGAGGCCAGCCCATGCCCAAGTCCCACAGTGGGCCAGTGGCCAGGGAGCCGGTGGGCAGTCCAGGGCATCCTGTGCCGGCAGGGGTGGCCTCCGCCCAGGGACGTCTTGCTCCGGGGGTCTGTACCGCCCTCATCGGATACAATTTCTCACTACTGGCTTTTAGGTTCAGCCCTAACTTGGCAGGAGTGGCTTTAGGCAAGTCACGGCCTCCCTCCAACCTCAGTTTCCCCATCTGTCCTGTGAGAGCCTCATCTGGATGGCCTCACGGCCCTTTCCAGCCCTGGCATTCCAGGCCCCCACAAAGCCATGGGGCAGGAGCCCACAGCCCACCCCCATCCCGCCCAACCCACCTCCTCCTTCCTGGGAGCTCAGGAAACCTCAAGTGGAGGCCAGCCAGGGCCCTCTGCTGACAGGAGCCGGGCGCTGGCAGGACGCGGCCTACGCAGCAGCCAGTGCCGGGTCAGGGCCCCACCCCGCACCAACAGGCCCACTCCCCACCGCGTCCTCACGCTGGGCCGGGCGCGGCAGGTGCACGGTGGCGGCGGCGAGCCCTGCCGGGCTTCTTTGCAGGCAGGGCGAGGACTGGACAAACGGCCCTGAGGGTTCTGATCTGCTGCCACAGGCCAGGGCTTCTGTGGTCACGTTTCGGAAGTGGCCTTTTCCTCACTGTGCCTCTCTCGGGCATGAGCTGTCAGCCACCAGAGTCGATTCCTGGCACTAATTACACGTCAGGTAGTGAGGTGGGTGGGCGTGGAGCTTGGGGTCAACCTAACAAGGAGACCACATAAAAATGTCCCAGGAGCTAGAGACTCGCCTTAGAGTGCTCGAGCCCACTTGAAAGGACTGGGGGGGGGGAGTGCCAACAAATTACAGGCGCAGAGCCCGGCCCTTGTTAACCAGCCCACGTCATCCCTTTTCCTGCGATCCTTGTTGGCATCACAGGCCCAAACCCCGAGGAATTCTGAGCTGTCAGACATGGGTGCTGGGCCCCCACCCCTCTTAGCTTAACTAGCAGTGGCACCTGGGCACGTGGCTCTATTTCCTCATCTGCAAAATGGGAGCCACTGCCCTATCTCACTGGACTGTGACGAACCCAGGTAAACTGCCGAGGACAGGCGCGTGGCAAATGCTGCAGAAGCACTGGCTGCCATCATCCACACTGTGCCACGCTCAGGGAAAGGCTCTGCACACAGCAGGTGCCAAGCAATGGCTGGTGGAAGGAGGGTCCCCTGCCCCAAAGCAAGGCACCAAATGCCACAGCATCTAGGTATATGGGCGCAGCCACCCGGCTCACCTGCCGCTCCACTGCACCACTGAGATCCTGGACAGAGAGCAGGCTACCTTGCACAAGGACACACGGCAAAGCAGCGCTGAGAATCCCAGAGCCCCCCACCCCCGCCAACCCCGCCGGCAGGCTTCTCCCTTCCACCTCTGCTCCGTGGTGTCCCCCACCCTGAAGGTCCTTTCCACTCTGCTCTTGCACCTCAAATGCATTTCAACTCCGCAGCCATCAAGGAAGCCTTCCCTGACCCAGCCTGGGGGAGCTTCTTCTATCGGACCAGATGCTAAACTAGCAGGTGGACATTCTGAGGAGGCAGATTTTGGCTTAGCCTAAAGACTTCCTAGGAGTTGGAGCTGTCCAGATAGATGAGCCATGCGCTCCCTGAGGAGGTATGGAGCTTCCTGACACCAGAGGTATGCAAGCATACGGGTAACCGGTGTGGCAGGAGCTGCTTTGAAATACCCCACGATATGGCAACTGGAGTGAGCTCCAGCAGCTGGTCTGCAGGCACTTAATCAAGGTTTATCTTATCTCTGCCCATTGGAGGCAGTGAGTATCCTGTCCCTCGAGGCATTCAAGCAGGAGGCTCTAGGATTATTGAACTTTGTGTGCCTGGCACAGGGCTCCGTCCAGAGTAGGCAGGCACTCAAAGTGTTTATTGATTGACTGAATGACCCCTGCCCTCCGGCTACCCAGACAAGCAGGAAGCCTACTCACCTTGAGGTGCCCCAGGTGCATGCGGGCCCGCTCACACATGTGCAGGAAGTACTTGACGTTGCTCTCGTCCACAATGATGTACACGGCTACCTTTCTCTTGAAGCCAGCGTCAAGCAGGTCCTTGAAGATGTCCACATCGGTGAACATGTCCATGACCACAGCTATCACCTGGGAGCAGGAAGAGAGACCGGGACCCCCATCAGATAGCGCAGCCGTGGGGACAGGGTGCCCCAACAGGACACACAGCCCTCCCACGCTGCCACCCTCTGGGGGATGCCCACCCTACCCCGCTGCTGGCAGCTTCAGGGCAGGGACCTGGGACTGAGAGCCGTGGGCCTCTCTGGCCCTTTAGTTCTAGCTGCCATCCCAGCCCAGGCTCATCCTGGGGTCTTGTGTCAGCCTTCCCACGCCGGGGCCAGCTACACACTGCCCTCCTGGCAACAGCTGGGATGCTGAGATGAACCCGATGTGTCCACAGCCAGGGCAGAGGGCAGCAGCCAGCGTGGCCGCTCACCGGGGCCTCCCCTGCGTCCCTGGGCTGGGGTGGACTTTGTCAGCCTCCTTGCTGCCACCACTGCTGTTTGGTCTAGATAGAGCACAAACCCACACGTGTCTTCTTACTGTCACCTGACCACATCTGTCCCCACAGCAAGCTGGACCTGGCTCAGGGTGGTGCCCCAGAGGTCAGAGTACACCTCCCCAGCCCAGCCCAGCCCAGCACTGGGGCAGGGCCCGGGGAGTGAAGGCACGAGGCGGAGCAGGCACAGGGACAGGACAGAGCAATGGCGTGGTTGTTCCTGTGCCTTGATCTCTTTCACCCTGTCCCCTCCCTGTCCACTGGCAGCAAAGCAGAGGAGTCATCACGCCTGGTCACAGCTGCCCGACGCTGCTGATGCAGACACAAGTCCCGCTGTCTGGGCTGCCCCGCCCCCACTCTTGGCCTCCGCACCCCGTCCCGGGTCTGGGAAGTACCTGGAGAAGCCAAGGATGTGCCCTAAGCCACACAGCGAGCTGGGGGCAGAGTCAGGCCAGAGCCTACCCAGGCTGGCCAGGGAGCAGAGCTCAGCCCCCACCCCCGCCAAGAGGGATCCGTAGACACAGGGTGACGGAGGCAGCCTGGAGCCTGCTGGGGACGTGTCTGCACACCCCACAGTGAGCTCACCAGGCGGGCCCCTGCGGGCCCATCGGGCCGCTGTTGACACCCGCTGCTTGTCTGGCACCAAAGCCCAAACCCCGAGCAGGGGAGGGCTCCGTGCCTACCCTGCCCTGGATTCACTGTGTGACCCTGAGCGAAACACCTGTTTCCTCTGGGCCGGCACACAGGGTCCATGGGAGAACCAAGCTCGCCCAAACATAGCAGCACCTGTGGAGGGCCCTACCCAGGAGGAGGGGCTCAGGGACACCCATCTGCTGCTTTTTGCCACAATCAGCCTCGCACGTTGAAATGTACAGGTCTTCTCGGTCCAACTCCTCCAACCTCTTGCATGCACCATGGTGGTGAGAGCCTAGCATGTAACTGGGTAAACTGAGGCCCAGTGAAGTTGTAAGGCTGGCTGGAGGCCACAAAGCAAGTTGGGGCAGGGCCTGGACCCATCCCCAGGCCAGGCCAGGGGCAGTCTCCAGCCCCTTCCCTTGGACGTTTAGTCTTGCAGGGGCTGGTAGACGCTGTCCAGAGTGGAGGTGTGGTCTCCAAAGGGCTGTCTGAGTGGGGCAGACGGAGTGGGTACAGTCGAGGCAGGGTAAACCGACGGGAGGCAAGTGTCTGCACCAGGTGAGGAAGCACTTTCTGCCCCCCTGGGGCTGTCAGGCAGGGAGGGGTCTTGAAAGGGAGTGACCCAGGAGATGTTCAAGCAAGGCCAGAGTGCCTGAGGGAGGGTGTGGGTGAGAGGGCAGAGGACACACAGTGTGGGCTGGGTGAGCTCACAATGACCTTGGATTTCACCACCAGTCAAGGGTGTTGAGACCCTGGGGCGGGGATGGGGGTGGCAGAGGCCTCCTTGCCTGGAATCCCACAGCCCCAAAGCCACTCCAGCCCTGGGATCCCCTCAAATAAGCCCCTCCTAGGCAGGCAAACAGCTTCCTGCGCCACCCTGGACAGAAGCCTAATCAGGATGCAGCCCTCCCACTCCTTCCAGAAGGTTCCAGGGCAGAGCAGACAGGAATGTGCCCAGCAGGACGCTCACCACGTTGTCCTTGGCCAGGCAGGGTACCTGATCCAGGGACCATCTGCTGCTAGGTAGTGTCCACTGGGGCCTGCCTCCAGGGGGGGTCCCTCCATGAGGTCTGTGGCTGAGTGCTGGCTCTCCCCAGGCACTGCGCTCAGTGCCTGGGGGTGGTCAAAGGAGGGCTCCACAACAGGTGCCAGCTGATGCTGGGGACCAGGGGGTGCAGGGCGCTCCCCAGGCAACACCCACAGCTTGGCCTATCCACAGAGCCATGGAGGTTTCTTGGCCGCCTTTGTGTCCCGTCATGCCCTTCCCATTTTGTGATGGGAAGCTGAGACCAGAGCCAGTGACTGAGGCTAGAACCCAGGCCCTGCGCCTCACCCAGAGCACCTTCTGTTCGAGAGACAGGAGCCAGCCCCGGCCCTCGAGCTGCCTGATGGTTTATAACAAGCCTTGGCAACCGTTACCTTGTTTGGTCCTCCAACACACCATGAGGAAGTGGTTCTCTTTCTCATGTTATAGATGAGGAAACTGAGGCACAGAGGCATTCACTACCATGTCTAATTATCTGCTTGGGTGGCCCAGCTCACCGTGACACGGTGAACTCATCTAGACCAGAGCCCCTGCCCAGGCCCAGCACGGGGCCTGGCCCAAGGCAGGTCTCAGGGAGCTGTTACCAACCGAGAACACCAGCAGATTAGATGGCGTGGTCCAGAAAAGACTGCAGGGATCAGGGCACCTGGGACAGGCCACGGCCCCTCCTGGGCCCTCAGTTTTCCCATCTGCCAAATGGGGATATGGGCCTGGCTCACCCTATGGTTCTATCCAGTTCGAACACCATGGAGCTGGCCCCGTAGAGGAAAGCGCCAGCCTGGAGCCCTGAGCCCGCACACAGCCCTTGGAGGTGGTGGGCAGGGCCAAAGCTGAGGAGGAGATGAGCAGGGAGGCTGGACTCTAGAGCACCTCCGCCCCGCTGTGTGTCAGAGGACCGCATTAGGCATGAGGCAGGCGGCCTGGGCAAGGGGCCGAGGCAGGCTGGGCTGCGGTGCAGGGGCCGCAGGGAGGACGTGGGCCCTGGGCTTGAGCGTGCCCCTGCCCCCGCCCAGCCCATGCTCTGCCGGCTCCTGTACCCAAATGCCTCCCTGGGGGTACGGTATGTGCAAGTCCCCCAAATAAGTGCCCTCGCCTCCTGACTGGCCCGCCACAGCTCCTCTCCCTCGCCATGCCCTTCCGGGGCTGCCTCCCGGCTGCCTCCCGCCTGTATCTCGAATCCCTGCCCCTCCATGCAGCCACGCTCGCCGGCCTCCTCTGTCCCTGCCGCCCTGCTCTGGTGGTTTCAGAATCCGCAGAGTATCCTTGGGACAGGTGGGTATCTGAGCCCGCGTGAGAGGTGCTGAAGCTGCCGCCCAGAGCTGGGAGGGCACCACCTGGAGGGGCGCCCTCGAGCCAGCGGGGTGGTGCGTTAGGGTCCCCAGTGTCCGGCCAGGAGTACTTCCGTCGCCTGGGTGGACCAGAGTGGCTTGAACTGGGGGCTGGAGGAACAGTGTCTGAGGGGCAAAGGGGCAGTCCCCACCTGTAGCTGCCACCTGCCAACGGACATGGCCTGAAGCCCAGTAAAACCAGCCGCCAGTGCTGGTGCAGGGACAGGCGTTCGGTCACGCTGGCAGGGAGCCCTGGGGGGTGTCCTCTCCAGCCCCCCTCAGCCCAGCCTGGGCCCCTGAGCAAGGGCAGAGCAGCCCCAGAGGCAGCGCCCTGGGCTCTAGGCCAGGCTTCAGGTGCGCTGCAACCCCTCTCTGGGTCTCAGTTTCCTTATCTATGAAACAGGAAGGTGGACAAGATGTCCAAGGCCCTTTGTCCCTGACATCCCTGCTGAGGGACCCTGACTTTTGTGCCCTGCCCAGTGCCCAGCAGGCCTGTCTGGGCCGGCTGGAGTGTCTCGCCGTACCCATGGGCCTGGGAGAGGAAGTGCTGGCGGCCTGTGGCTCCTGACACCCACAACAGCCATTTCTAGCCCTCCGCCAACCACAGAACCCACTCCCAATGCAGGCGCACCCTTGTGGGGCAGGAGGGCAGGACAGGCCTCCATGGAGGGGCCTGGGGAGGAGGAGTGGGGTGAAATGAGCCCGGCTGGTTCTGACCCTGGTGTGCGGGCCACACCTCTGCAGCAGCATCTCTCCTGGGGGGCCCTGGCTCGTCTCCCCCAAACATCCTGCCTCAACCTACCACCTCTCATACACGCTGATCCCCCACCTGCCTGCCGGCCCATTTCGTCTCTTCCCAGTCAACTCGTACACATCCTTCGAATCCCAACTGAAATGCTGCCCCCGGCTCCTCCGTCATGGCTCTGGCCTGTCTGGGTTGCGCCTGTATCACTTGTGCGTTTCTGGAGATGCCATGGCAACAGAGCATCCCCAGGGCCTGGACCCCGGGACGCGGGCAAGGGGCAGAGTTTCCGACCTGCACATGACAAGCCCTCTGGGAGGGTCCCACTGTGGCACCCTCCCAGGCTCAGAGATCCCTGGAGGTGGCTCAGGGAGAACTGGCCGCAGTCTCTCTTCTCATGTGTTCCAGGGGGTGGGGGACAGACAGCCGCCAGCCTGCCCCAGAGCCTGGGGCCTGTGACGCGGTGCACATCTACACACCCCGGGCCTTGCTGGGCCTCACCCCCCCGCCGCCCCCCCCCCGCCCCGAGAATGCAGGGGGCAGAGGAGAGTCTCGCATCTCTGGGTCCATCGCTCTCTGGCTCTGATGGCAGACACCATCCGTGTGGGCTCTGGCCCATCTGGCTCCCATGCCAGCTATCCTGGGAAGCTGCGTGGCCGTGGGCAGGGGCGGCGGCTTCCCCACGGGGAGAGTAACGATCCCCCGGCGCAGGTCGCTGGAGGCGAGTGGACTACCGCAGGTGTGGCACCAGCAGGGGACCACGTGCTCTCCTCCTCATCCCGCCAGCCAAGCCCCACTGCGCCGGGCCCACAGCTCCCCTGGGCAACACGCCAGGGACTG